TTGGCCCTCCGAAGTCACTTTTCATTTTTCCCATAGAAACAAAGTCATAAATAGTGATTGGTATGTGCACCTAAAATAACATATACTTACAATAAAATTATTACAATGTATTTACAATGTATTCGCAATGTATTCTGTTAAATTTTTATACTTTATTAAGTCATTATAATTTATTATAAATATGTATTATTAAATTATTAAAATGCATTGACAATGAAATGTTATTAACATATTGTTTCTCATTAATATATTATACCACACATTAATACTAGGCTAATAATTATGTTACATTAATAACATATTAGTAATTAACCAAAACAGAAAAGAATGTATTGAATCAACCTACAATCTCCTTTGGTCGAGCCCTGAGCACTGATAGAGAATCTAGGAATTGTCAGGTGCTATACCAGGGGCCAGGACAAGCATGAAAGATAAATTGAATTTAATTTGTGTGTTACCATTGGTAGGAAAGCAAGTTCACTGGAGAAGAATGAGGAAATAGATGGAATTCTTTCCTAAGGAGACTACCTTATCCACGTGACTTCTGGGCGGAGAAGCACTTCTCATCTCTCTGTCCTGTTACTTCTAAACTTTAGATCTGCCTTTTCTCGAAGGACAGTGTGCCTCCAGGACTGCCCTTATGCGTAGCCATAATTAGGAGGTTTTGGGTTTCCAGATAGGGGAAGATTTCTCTAAGTAGCCTTTGGGCACTTGGCAAAGAGGGAGAAGAAAGGAAGGTGGAGAGAAAGGTTATGATGGAAGAGATCATGTTGGCGCAGGAGACAGAAAGTCACACACTATGGCTCAGTTCTCCTGAAGGGGAAAGAAGGGCAGGGCTCCAGGGCATCCAGCTCAGGATCATTAAATCCACTCCCCTCCCCAGCCTCACCTGGGAAAAGGGAGGGGCAGGCAGGTGGGTGTGACTGGTCTTTCTGAGTAAAGTGTGCTTTCCAAGCTAGTTTTTTTCACAGCTTTGTGAGTGCCATTAACTGTTGGATCCTGCAGTGGCTACCATTGCTTTTTCTAATCACTAGGGAATGAGGAGAGGGTGACAGAATTAGGCTTTAACTGGCCTTCAGGCAAGGTCAGGCAAGGTCCAGAAATCTGGGCTGAGCAGGGCCACTCAGCAAGAGAATTCAGGGACAGACAGGCAAACTAAGATAGGTATGTGGCTCCGGGAACAAGAGTCTGGGCCACGAGGATAAGGCACTCCTGCGACTTACCTCTTCTGAACACCTTCCTGTAACTTCTGATGGGGAACTGGGGCTGTCCCCCTGGGTGGCTGTGCCACCCGCTCTCAAAGGGACACACCAGCACAGAGCTTCCTCTCTCTGAAACCGCTCTCATCCCTCCCAATCAGTTAACCCGTCCCGCTTCAGCTGTCTCTCCCGATTTCTTTAGCTTGTAGAGCATTTTCTTTAAAACATCCACGCTTCTCCTTTGCCATGGAAAACTGCAGCCTCACCTACCTAAATCTGCTGTCCCTTCTAATATATTTAATCACATGATATTTAGTGATATTTCATTTATTCAGCCATTATTGCCTCTACTCTTAATTTTCCCAGGAATTCCTTGTCTCATCAACTTAATTATAAATTCCTTAAGCCATATTTTGTGCTTTTTAAAAAAATCCCTCTGGAGCTCGTCAATGCTCATAAAAGTATTATTCACACGAGCCAAAGAATGGAAACAACCCACATGTCCATCCACAGAGGAATGTACGTAGTGAGCATACTTTACATTTCTACAATACATTATGGGTTTCTAAAGTCCTTTTCTCATATATTATTTCATTTGCTTTCCAGAAAAATCCACGAGACAGATATGGCCATTCCTACTTTGTTGATTATTAAGGGGGACTCATAATGGTCATGTGAGGGATTCAATATCCCTCAACTAGATGGAGTCAGACCCGACACAAGGAATCCTGTCTTTTGCTTCCTAATCTGGTGCAATTTCTATCTTAGCATCCCAGGGATCAGGCCAGCATCACAGGTTCCGGATAGCAGGGCTGGGAGGGGCCTTTGGAGATGCTGTCTCCAGGCAGGGAATGGCATTCAGTCTCAAGCTCAGTTCCTTGCACATGGACCCCAGCACGTGTACAACCAGCCGAGGCTGGGAGAGTGCTACCAGTTGCACAGTGCGGAGGAGCCATGTGACCTCCTTTCGGAAAAAGACTGAAGAATTCACTTCTGGGAAAAAGTCTCCATCTGTTTTCCAGATAAAATTGATTAAAACCACCAATCTGGTTTTGCAGATTCTGCGGAAGGATGAGTTGTCCAGTGTGGTCTGGGTAGGTTTAGCTCACATTTCTCAGAGGCTCCAGCCACCGCCATGCAAGGAAGGCCCCTTCACCCTCAGCCCTCTGCTTGCGAAGAGGAGCTGGGAGGCCCCAGCTGAGAGCCCCCCGCCCCCGACGGCCCCGTCATTTTCTGCAGGCCAGCTGGGCATCAGCTGGACAATCTCATGTGCGTCCCATTTACCATTTTGCTGAAGTTCCAGCAGGGAAACTTTATTTCTCTTTGCCAGTTCTCTTCCACTTCCCTCACCTTCTCCCTCCCCACCAAGCCGATCCCCTTTGTTATTTTTAGTAAAAAGGACTTTCCTTCAGTAAATTTCAAGACTTCAGGAAAGCAGTTAGAAGAGGATGAGTTGAGGAGAGGCATCTGATCCTCTTATTGTTGTGTACACAGGCACAGCCACACACCCTATGGGGGGGGGGGGGACCGGGGAGGGCAGCTGAACGGATTAAAAATGGATCCATGTTTGTGTTTGTTATTTTGTTGACCTAAGAAACTTCCCAGCCTGTGGAGAATTTTTATGTTTATTTGAGCCAAACTGATGACAATTTTCAGGAAACAACATCTCAATGGATTGAGAAAAATGCTCAGGAGAAGGGCAGTTTTGCAACTTATTTTATACACTAGAATCAAAGAAGGAGCCCTAAGGAGGGCTATATGAAATCCACTGGTGGTAGATTAAGGGGGTGGGAGAAACCAAAGTAGAGACATCTCTGAGACTGGATAAAAAGTGAAATGGAGAGACACAGACTTCTTTTACATAGCTGGGTGCGGCATAGTTAACATTTCCAGCACATAGAGACGGTATGTGGACAACAAGATAACAAGGAGGAGTTCTGTGGCCTCTTGCTCAGAGGCCAGGCGGTTTTACCCGGAGGGATCTAGAGAAGATTGCTCTGAAGTTGGCTATGTTATCTTAGATGCAAAAGGACAATTGACAGGCTCACAGAAAGACTGACCTTTGTCAAGGAAGCTACTGCCCAAGACAAGACCACCTGCCATGACTCCCTTTAATCAGGAATTTTTATGTTCAGACCTTTCTGTGTGGTTTCTTTCAGTCTCTGAGTTAGTAAAGCCACCATGCAGGCCTCCCCTGAGCTTGTCAGGTTAGTATGTGGCCCCTTTTTTTGGTCCACAATTTAATGATAGTCTTTGCATTTTCACGGTGAGTTCAGACAATCCTCATTAATTGTGGTTATTGAGGTATTCATAATGCCATTTCCATTTTATATTATTATTCTTTTTCTCTCCTCTCCTGTCTTCTTTTGGATTTTTCAAGTTTCCTTTATTCTAGTTTCTTTTCTATAGTGTTTTGGAAGTTATGTAATCTATTTCTTTTCTTTTAGTGGCTACAGTTAAAATGTGAGTTTTATTTAACAACATCTAATATTAACCTCTTTGTATTGACATCATCTAAATAACATAAAGACCTTAGAACCCTTTAATTCTGACCTCATTCTCCCATCTTTCGTGCTATCACTGTTGAAAAACTTAGCTCCACTTTTTAAACACAATTTTGTTGAGGTACAACTGACATATACTAAATGGCACATATTAAACATATACGTTTGGATGTCTTGGCATACATATGCACCCATGAAGTCATCACTACAGTCATGATAAAAACAACCATGTAAAAAAAAGCAGATCCACTTCACACAGGAACATAACTGGCTGCACATTTCTGAGGTCTGCTAGTGTTCTGCAAACTCATTTTATTTAAGAAGTTTTATAGCTTCTGGGCAGAAGTAACTGATAATCATTTATCAAAGCCCATCGGGCAATGTGCTAAGTGGTTTCCATTAATTATTTCTCTATTGTCCTTAATTTTTAATTATAAAAACAATACAGGTTTAGTATAAATGTATACACTCAATACCAAAATGAATAGGTAAAAAAGGAAGGACTTGTACCCCTTGCCTCCTTCTTCTTTTCTTCCGAGTAGACATATATTTATAGCTTGTTTATTTCTGCCCTGAAATACATGGCAGGCATTTTCTGTGCATTTGAAAACATACATGATTGTAATAAAAATGGAGCTAAATGCTCAGTGGATTTTTTTTTTTTTGGTTTAAAACAATCATTTTGCAGTGTTTTTGCAGCTTGTTTTCTTCACTTACTACATCGGTCATTTTCTTATTTCATCATTTTTCAGCTACATAGCATTGAATTAATGCATTATAATTATTTTGATCAATCTTCCCTTATGTTTAGGGTGTTTCTGTTTTTTGTTGTTATTACAAGTGACACATTCAATTCATCTTATATCTTCAGGCACTTATGGAGTATTTTTGTAGGATAAAACCTTGAAATGCAATGCATTATTTCCAACCCACATAGCCTCTCTTTGATTTGGGTATTATCATTCCCTTTTACATTTGAGGATTTTGTACCTAAAGGGTTAAGTGACTTACTCAGCTCCTGAGTGGCTGCCTGGGGAAAGCGAGTCCTGATTTCCCCATTTTCCAATGTGCCAACAACCACACCACTCACCACACTGCTTCTCCCACCAGTTTGGAGAGTGGTTTTTAAAAAAAGGTCATTAATGTTGCAATTGTCAGGAGGATTACTGGAGATTTTTCAGCTGATAGTAGCCCAATGGAATTAGAATGCTGGGGACATATTTCAGGCAATTTCTATTTTCACCTGGCCCCTCAGCTGAGGACAGTAACGTGAAAGTTGAGGGGCTATTTTTAGCAGGTTAGGTCTCAGCACCCTGGGAGGGTGTGAAATTGCCTTGCGCTAACCCAGGCAGCTAGGGATTGCTTGCCCACTGTTTTGTTCCGAAGGAAAGGACACAGACCATCTGGGCCAGTAAGTTGGGTCCAGAATTGGACTCATGTTTATTTTATTTAACAAATGTGTTCTTGAATAATATGAGTTGAATTTTGGTTGGTTGAACGCCACTTTTAATGCACTCGGAGGTGCACACATTTCTTGTAATCTTGCAACGAGTGGCTTTATAAAACAAAGAATGCTTTGATAATGTGAACAAATTTCCTTTATGTTGAACATAACTTGTTTTTCCTCTTTTTTTTTTAAGGCGGCAAGCCCTGTGCTCAGTCATTTGTGTCTTAGAGTATGTTGGCTGGTTTAGCCATATTAGTTAACAGTGAGGTGGAATATGTATGTTGTTAAAAAATATAGGCAAATAGAGTCCAGCCTCTCACTCCAAAGTTTCAAACCAAACAGTATAATTTAGAGGAGGTGGTTTTAGACAAATACCCCAAGCCAGGAGGACTGCAGCTGTGGACACAGGGCGCTCCTTATCCCTCTGTTTGGATTGCGGGACCCATTCCTGCTTCACTGAGGTGGCATGGGGAAGAGCGGGCTCTTTGGTTACTAAATCCACAGTCCAGAAAATAGATGGAAACAGGGGAGGCTGTGACCAACTCTCTTTTGCACTAGCACAGTTGCATGCTCAGAAAGCACGATAAAATATTTATAGTGCAATATTACCATTTTGTGCTTTATTATATTGGTTTGCATGTGCTTATACATTTAAAAAAATTAATCAATCATTAATTCTACAGCTGGAATGGCCTTTAGAGTTCATGAAATTTCTGGCATGTGCCGATCATAAAGATTGGCTGGGGGAAAATGGACCTACTTTTAACTTTGACAAATTTTAATCAGTTTGGCTTAAGATGCTTTGATTTTGGAAAATATTATTATTCTACATGAGAAGCAAGCAAGATTCAACACAATTCAGTTAATATACCTAGTGGGATAGCCTTCTGAAATGAATTTTTAGTGTGTCTCATACTATAATCTTGATCCTCTAAGTTGATATTTATCTGTCTTTTTGAGGCCATGACCCTTGCATTGCTCTTAGTTTAGTTTTGGAAAAATAACTGAAAATGTATAGTAAAATGAATAATGTTGCAATCCTATTAACCCCTGTTTTGGAGATTTATTCAATGGAAATAAAAACACTAGAAACTAAAGAAGTATGTGTGAAGATGTTTAGTGCAACACTCTTCATGGAGGCAAAACACTGGGAGAATCTTAAGTGTACATCACTACACTGTGTAGGTGCACACAACTAATAAAACAAATAAATTAAATCTATGTTATTGATCTCGGAGCCAATATATGAGACTGTGATACATTGTTTAATGGGAAAACTCTAATAATAGATTAATTTTTTAAATGGGAAAATAGAACCTCATACATATAAGTATATATGAGACACATTTCTCATAGGTGTGTGTTATCCCAGCAAGAATGAATGGGAAAGAGGGGTTAATATTTTTTCCATATGTATATCTGTCTTGTTTGACTTACTCTAATGAGCATTATTAGTTTTTAAATTTAAATATCTTATAAAGTGAAAAAAACACACACGCACAGGAGTCTTCCTTTTTTTGTTTTGTAACAGGAAACAAGACTATACTTCAATGGGATAGTGTAGTTATTCTGATCAGTAGGATATATGTTTAAAGACAATTTATAGGTATTTAAATACCTATTGAAGCCTCGCCATTTAGGATGGTATTTTTCAGTTGTATAAGCCTACGTTCCCTGCACTGATTTCTCACTACATGTTTTTAACTCCACCAGCCAAGAAGCTTTGTTGAGCTTCTGGCTTCCTGTGGTTATATTAAAGGAAGAGCACCCGCTTCTCAGTTCTGACCCCTCTCTGCCACTGGCCCCTCAATTTGAGAGTTTTAGCACAGCCTCAATCAATCGATGGCCTTTTGCTGATAAGGATGGCAATCACAAAGATGAGCCCGAGAATAAGCACTCCTTGTTTAATTAGAACATGAAAAAAAATTGGAAATTTCCCTACCATTCTTTAAAAATGTGCTGCTAAAAGTGTTTCTTCGTTTACCTCCTGCTGATCTGCAAATGAGAAAATCCTGTTGCAAGAATGTAAGATTCTTGTTCCTCAGGCTTGTGGTTGTCTTTGTGTTCCTGGGAAATCATAAAAAGGAAGACCTCATCCAAAGGCTTTCTACACACAGGGGTATAAGTAATCCCAAGGCTGTGGCCAGAAGCTTGAGCAACTACAGTGTGAGTAAATCATGGCGGTGTTTAATGAAGTATATTTAAAGGACATGGAAATGAGATCAGAAGCTCAGGTCTTACAGACTTAAAATCTAAAGACAGTAATGGTTGGATGAAAACTTGAGCAAGCAGTTTGGCATTAAGGACAGAAACATAGGACTTGTAGTCAACTTGCTGGGTTTGGATAATATGGTAAAGTGAAAAGCAGAATGATTAGGCAGAACATGTAGAATTATGCACGGTTTTGAATGGATGGATTTGGTCTCAAAATAATATGGCTATTTTCTAATTACAAGCATGGTGTAAAAATTCATTCAGTCCTTCATTCATTCCAAAAAATGCACACTGAGCATCATCTTCCAGCCAAGGCCAGTGGGCTGTGTGTGAACCCAGACCAGTGGAGCAGACTTGGCAGGCCGGTCCTGAGGAAAGCAGCAGTGAGGGATGGAGAAAAGGGAGGGGCCTATCATTCCCAAATGCAAATAAGAGGATTTAGTTTCTAACTGCACCTTGCCAAGGAGTCCTATCAGACTTAACTGCGCCCCACCTCCTGCATTTAGCTATCACACTTTTCTAGGGAAGAAATAAATTTAAATATTTTCTTTGCCTCATTTATTTCTGAATCAGCTTTGCATTTTCAGCTTTGAAATAGTAATGATGCTGAAACTTGAGTAGAGAGGGAAACTGTCCTTCTATTATCTTCTGAACACTAAATAATTCTCAGAAAAATGCACAGAGGCAGTCTTGGAGATTTTTTTTTTTCCTAAGCAACTTTTTTCAAGAACTAGAAGACTTCTGGAAACAGAAGTGGCATTTTAGAAGATTTAGATTCAGATTAACTTTACCACTAGTCTACCGTTTATAGGGGTGAGATCCTCACAGATTAATAAAAATTGCTGTCAAATCAAGGTGCTAAAATAAAACTATTAGGGGAATAAGTTATTACGTAAGTAATTATGCTAAGTAACGTGCTTTGCTCCATGACAGCTAAATGTTCCTTCTCACATTTACCAAATGAAACTCCCTCTAGAAATCTAGCCTAATCTAAAAAGCTGATTAGGTGGAGGGAAAAAATGCTGTCATAAAGGTGAATTGAAACGAACTAGATTAAGTAAATGCAATTTATACTAATATGTAACTTGTTTTTTAAAAGTCGTACCAATAATCAAAGCCCAAAATGGAATACAATTGACTTGGCTGTTGTGCTTGAGGGTAAGCAGGTTCAATTAGAAAAGGATGAGGCAGGCTTTTGAAAACTTTTGTGGCTACTAAATCATTCTGGGGGTAAATGTGCAGGGTTCAGGGGCAGGCAGACCTGGTCGACCTCCATATTTCTCTCTTTTGAAGCTGCTTAGTAGTCGTGGGCAGGCTCCTTCCTCTTCCTATAATGGATCATAATGTAATCCATTATAATATTAATAGGTATACTAATTATTGTGTAATATATAATAACATATAAAATATAATCATTATCATTCCTTATGCATGGCTTTTGACCTGTCCCACTTTTTGCACTTTTAGGGAGATGATAAACTTGGAGAGCAGAGATTTTTGTCACCTACTTTGGTAAATTCCCAAATGCAATGTACATCAAACATAGATATTATATTTTTTCATGTATTGACAATGATTTGCTTTGTTCAAGGGCTTTAAAGATGAAAAACTCTACTCTCTGATTATTTCAGAATTTTTTCTTTCTATTTGTTACAGACATGTCACTAATGCTTGTAACAGGGTATTTATTTGGGCTCATACATGGTTCAAGGGGATGGAAAGGGGAAGGAAGGGAAGAGAAAATTCTCCCTGATACTTAGATGTTGAAAGAAGAAAGAGGAGAAAGAATAAAAAAAAAAGTGTATGTATCTGAGAAAGAGATAACTGGGCAGAATTTGCTGAACACGAGCAGTAAGAGAGTAATGTTGTGTAAAATGTCCCCTGAAAGAAAAGGAAGGTATGGGTCGCAATGTGATATGGCAGTTAGTACCTCAAATTGGACAGCAGGTGGCATGTCACCGATTTGGAGCAGCTTGCTTGGAGTTTGGGACAAGGTGGATGGATGGATGGGCTGTTGGCTGTCTGAACATGTGTGCATGGGATGGTTAGATATGATTTCAGAATTTCTACTCAAGGGAATACCCCAGATAGGCACGGAGGCCCATTGGGACGTCTCCGAGAAACTGAATTCAGGGTGCTCAAGCAAGACCATGATTCCCCCGATGTCCTGCATCCTTTTAAATGGATAGTTTTACCAATTCTGGTGGCTTGCTCTCAAATACTGGTCCAGGACCAGAAAATTAGAAAATCGAGACAGTGTGGCATCTGGTTTTGTTAATGGGTGGCCAGATTTTTCTGCTCTGGGTCCTTTTTTCTTGATCACATTTCTTTTCCATGTCTTATTCCTCTGTGTAGATGGTTCAAGTAGGTCTAGTACTGCTTTTCTTACATAAAAAGAATCTCATTCAAAATTGAACAACTGATACCCATTTATCATAGCAACAGTAGGAAAAAAACTGATAAACACACAAAAAAAGTGGAAAAACCTGTATGTGACTCTAACTGCCAAAGATAACCACTATTAAAAATTTGATATATAAAAGGTTTCGAACTTTTACATATGTTGACATATTTTCTTAGAAAAATGAGATCATAGTGAATTAACTGTTTTATAACTTGTGTTTTTCACTTAATCTATGCTGAATATTTTTCCATGTTAATATAGTTCAAACATTATTTTATAATAATTATAAAATGTCACCTCTTATAAATATGTCATAATCCATTCCATTACTTTTGGCACACACACA